TGTGATGTGGGACGTGTCTAAATTTGTGGATGACATCTAAGGGAAGGTATGCTCTCAGATGACAAGTGCGGATAGTCCTAGATTGCATGAGGTGGTCGAAAGCTTAGATTTGAAGATCAAATCTTACGCTGAAGCTACAAAAGCTGCTCAAATCTCTTTTTGTCAAGAACAAGAGATTGAAAAGTCCAACCAGCTTGCACGTAGGAAGAATGTGAGAATTTCAGGTTTACCTGAAATAGAGAATGAAGATGTCAAGAGTGTTGTCACCAAGTTTTTGGATGAAACACTTCAGGTTTCCAATGCGGAATTGGCTCAAGCTTTTCGTATTGGAAACAAGGGAGCTCAACCTCGTGGTATTATAGTGAAGTTTGTCAATCAAACTCAACGTGATGTTGCCTTGGCTAATAAGGCTATGTTAAAGGGACGTAGAATATGGTTGGATTCTGATCTGACTCCTCTACAAGTGGAAGTTAGGAGAAAGTAGCTTGCGAAGGTAAAAGAGGCTCAAGAATCGGGTTTTGTTGCTTATTTACACGATGGAAGAGCAATCATTACTCAGAGGAGGAGGGTGTCGTCAACATAGCAATCCGAGAAGATAAGGGTGTTGGTGTGGAATATCCGAGGACTTTCAACAACAAAGCATGTGAGTGCTGCTCCGATTTGGAAGATGGCTGACGTTATCAACATTGTGGAGACTTGGGAACATGAAAGCAATACTATTGCTGAGTTGGAAGGGTTTACCTTGGTGGGGTCGACATGGAACCAGAGAAGACAACATGCGGGAAGGGGTCAAGGAGGTATTGCTACTTTCATTAGGTCTCATCTTCTACCTCTCATACATCTAGAAGCTCAAGATGTTGGTGGACAGTATCATTGGCTACGTCTCAGGGTGGTTGGAGAATCTTCTTGCTATTTGGCAATTTGTTATTTTGCACCATTGTTCATGAGTATCTACTCAACACGCTTTTGCAACCGAAGTGATCAATTCCATCGGCTTATTGAAGATGTTCTTAGATTCCAAAGTAAAGGAGATGTCTTTCTTGCTGGAGATTTCAATGCTCGTATACGTTGTGCTCAATTTACTCAATTTAGTGATCCCTTGGCTTCTTCTATGTTTGAAGAAATTTACGATAGTTTGTGGTCTAGAACCTCTTTTGATCCTTCCACAAACTCTTTGACAGAGCACTTTTTGACATTTGGAGCCACTTGTAACTTGAAGGTTCTCAATGAAACCTCTCGCTTTCCCAACTCTCAGTCCAATACTTGTTTTTCCCCTACCGGTGCTAGCACAATATATTTTCTCTTGTGTTCCTTGGTTAGTTTCTCTCTGATCTCCAATTTTGATGTTCTGGATCCTTAACCTGAATCAGATCATGCACATCTTTTGTTCATACTTTCAATGTCGAAATCAATCTCTACTTCACCTTGCCAATCTCTTTTAGCTTCTCCCAAGTTTCGCTTAGATCCTTGTAAAAGAGACCTTTATGCAGAACATCTACAAGATCTTTTGACTCACACCATATGGAGTATAGATTCGCATACCGCTAGTTTACAGCTCATAGAATTGCTCAAAACTTCTGCATCAAAGTTCTTTTTGAGGCATAGTACTAGGATTGCTAAGGGGCTACCTTGCAATGGATGGTTTGACTCCGAATGCAAGCTAGCAAGGGCAATGTCTGTTGATAGGTCTTTGGATATTCAAAGTCGGCTTCTTTTGACAAGGATATACAAAGACTTGGTGAAGTCTAAGAAACAAGCTTTCTTAAGACGAAAGCAAGAATCCTTGACAAAGGATCCGATGAAGGATCCCAAGTCCTTTTGGAGACGATTAGCTACACCATTGTCAAAACCTTCTCTTGATTCCGAGTCTTTGGTAGCTTTTGCCGAAAATCTCTATTTCTTTCCAGAAGCCACATCTATGCCATATTGCGAAGCAACACCTGGATTATTTTCGGAAGGAAAGGTGATGACTATTCTCCGAAAATTAGCAAATGGCAAATGTGAGGATTTAGATGGCTTGTCCATTGAACTTATCAAGTGGGGAGGAGATTGTATTGGATCGGTTCTCACTAAGCTTTTGGAAGATGCTATGGTTCATGGTTTTTCATCAACTTGGTCCATGCGGAAGATTGTTCCTATTCATAAATCAGGAAGTAAGGTTGTGGTGACAAACTATCGCACCATCATGGTTGGTAGTGTTTTTGCCAAGTTGTTTGGGAAGTTGGTAGAATCGAAGTTGAGCACATGGACAGAGGATTTTCAAAAGAGAGCAAAGGCCCAGGCCGATTTTCGTCCTACATACAACACAATTGACTATATTTTGGCCTTACGTGTTTTATGGGAGAAATCCAAGGGCAATGGGAAAGCTTTATTTTGTGCCTTCATCGATTTGAAAAAAGCTTTTGATACTGTTCCTCGAAAGCTTTTATGGGAAAGACTACAAGACATTGGAGTACCGGCTAATCTACTTGGAGCTGTGGCCACTTTATACACTTCAGTTCGAGCTAAGATTGATGTCTCTTAGCCTCAAGAGATCTCGAGCACCATTGGAGTTATTCAAGGTTGTCTTCTCTCTCCTACTCTATTCGGAATATTCATAGATGATATAGAAAGGTGGTTGGATGATTGTGACAGTGAAGGAGTCAAACTTGGAGACTTTGTGATCAAAGCTCTTTTGTATGCAGATGATATCATATTACTAGCACGTGATGCAATTAGTTTACAGAAACAACTTGATACTTTGGCTAGCTTTTGTACTCAAAATCAGATGGAGTTCAATCTGGAAAAATCAAAGATCATTCTTGTGGGCACTAGATCCAAGTTCTCTCTCTTTTACAAGGGACTAGAATTGAAACAAGTGAAGAGTTACAAATATTTGGGCATTGATTTTTCTCAAAATTCTAGTTTGGCACTTTGTGTACAAAAGAGAGTAGAAGCTAGTTACAAAGCTCTATATTCATTGTTAAATCGATGTAGAAAAGCTCATCTAGTATCTTGGAGTCTTAGGAAATTTTTATTTAGGAGTTTAGTGTTGCCGGTGGTTTTATATGGGACACAAGTGTGGGGTCCTGGCAGTAAGAAGACAAGTTGGGAGCGTGTGGAGAGGGTGCAAAAGATCTTCTTACAAGAAGAGTTAGGTGTAAGGAGCCAAACATTTTATGCTATTCTTCTTGCGGAAACAGGTTGTCTACCTCTTGAGGCTGAAGCTCTCTACTTGACCATCACTTATATTAGAAGGGTGAGATCTCTTGATGCTTCTCGACTTCCTCTTCATGCTTTGCGTGCCACACGTTCCAAGGGATGGTTTGCAGATGTGATGACTCGGTCTTTGAGGTGGAATCTGACGGAATTGGATTGGGATCTGCAACCTATGGCCCTTCGCGAGCGTATTAAGGAGTAGTTTCTCAACATCATTTGGAGGAGAGGAGTCACTAAAATGCAGTTTTATCAACTTCATGTGAATCCTATGCTTATTTATTGTGAGCAAGGGTACCTTGTTGCAGAGATCGCTACATCTTTACGTCATATTATTGCCAGGCATAGAACATGATCTCATAGGCTTGGAATTGAAGATGGACGTTGGTTGAATATTGATAGGAGTGAACGGATTTGTAGGCTATGTGATGGGAGAAATGTTGAGGATGAAGAGCATGTGTTTATTACTTGTACTAGATATATAGAGATTCGAGTGGCGCATAAAGTTGATGTCGAGAATTTTTTTTCTCTGCTTCAACTCGAGCCTTATGATTTAGGTTGTTACATTAGAGATATTATTAGTTACCGTTCTAGTACTTTGGGCACTAGCTAGGGGGTTCTTTTGGTTCTCTCCTAGTTTGGAGTTGGATTGTTTGTATTGTGTTTTTTAACCTTTTGACCCTTTGGGTCACACGGGCTTGATCTATTTACCATTTACCATCTTTGGTCGGCCCGATCAATGAGTAAATGTATGTAGATCTACAAAGCTGTTCGACACTAGGAAAGAGTATTTATTGCCCTTGGCTCATGTATTCACTTCGTTCGTTGTGTGTGTTGCTACAATATTTTAACTATGAACTGGTTGCTCGATCAATGTCATTCTGTTCGAATTTAGACTATGATGGTGGGGCTCTCATTGACGCACATGATTCTATTTGATTCAGGACCTAGTGAAAATAAACGGCGTGCTGGTGCTGCAAGCATCTTGGAGAGACGATTGTGACCATTACATGAAGTAATGGTCACAACACATTACATTACATGACCACTTCTCTATGCAAACGGACTAAAAAAAACCTGCAACAATTACGCATATCTCCTCAGCAAGATTGAGGCTTGCCATGATCAGTTTCGAAATCGCCCAATTTTTCGGCAAGCAATCACCAGATTTTTAGTCTTCAGAGCCTCGCTCGTAAATCTGAAGGAACGATTGAAGAACGCCCTGTAAAATTCAAATAATGTGATTAACTGATCCTCGACACGTGTTTCACATCGATTAACCAGGGTGCATTGACTAAAGGTTAAGCGTTGTACGGGTCAACGATGACACCGTCACGACGGTCATCGTGTGCCATCAACCCCCGAGGATACTGTCGGGGTTGTTCGAGCCTCCAGTCTTGCTAAGGCAATTCACTCTTTCTACAATTCACGTGATTCACACGCCGTTGTGGAAAGGCCACTCGTTGGCACGATGGCGAGGTCCTACGATGCGCGAGAAGACGAAGACGAAGATTCGTTCGAGCCTTTCGTTTCCCGTACTGATGGGACAAGTACTGTACTACATTGGGGTGTCATGATTCTTCGCCTGCTTGCAGAACGAATCCCATTGTATGGTGCTGTACTACGAACTTTCAAACAGTCCCGCGAAGAATCGGCAACAGCAACGAATCCTGCATCAATCTGCATTCTTTATCCCTGACTCCTATTTCACACATAAACCTGCTTTGAACGTACGTCACACATACCACAACGGACACTTGGACTGCACCAAAGGTACAATTCCTCTGTTCTTTCTGCAATCTTCAGAAACCGCGTGTCTATTATTCTTGTTGCACATGATAGTCAAGAAGGAACCACGACTTTCACCAGGAGTTCCACCTTCAATTCAACCAAGAAAGGGATGCTGCCTGTGTCTGGTACCAACGCAGGTCACAGGGACAAAAGCAAGGCTTATACTCCCAGCACTAATGCAAGTCCATACGAGTTCGAGACAGTACTGTAGTATGTTTCGACTTTACTCTTCCATGCGGTGCGAGAATTGGGTGAATGATGGATATAATGCTGGAAACCCATTTCTGATGTAGCCTCTTTCCTACCTATCTACCGACCAAGAATGTTGCCGTCATGTTTACAAATGCTCGTCATTTCTTCTGTGAATGCAATTGCAAATCTACAGACATGCCACAGAAGCTAAAACGTCCTGAATCTCAAGCTAAATCTCAAGCCTCCAAATGTATGAGAGGAGCAATCTATTAGAGAAAACCCCGTGAGTCCGTGCTGAGAGACATTGAGTGATGGAACCAACAGACTAGAGCTAAGTGATACTACATGTGGGTGGGAGGTCATGACAGAGGTGTAAATGATGCAGCTTGATATCAAAGACCTCCACCTCACTTCCTGTTGAAACTTGGACAAATACGATCCGTCCAGGTAGTCTAGGACTTTATAGGCTGTTACGAATCATGATCTTTCTATGAGGTCAAGAACGCATACACACTCAATGTGAGGCGTATGTGGAAACATATCGACAGGTTGAACACTCACTAACTTGTACGTTTGGGGCTCCAAGCCTCCCTGCCAACGAAAAACGCGTCTGTAAGTTCCTCAACTATATCACCTTACATTATTTATCTTCAGTAGCTGTATTACTAGTGCAAAGACTACATGCTTTTCCCCCCCTAACTCCAACAGACAATTTATACACCCGTGTAAAAGAAACAATTTCTTGTGCTGTATTGGCGACTATCTACAATGATAAAAAATATGCAGGAATTAGAAAAGTACTTCACTTAACATACCTCCCCTCCATGACACAGGAGATCTAGGTCCCTAGCACATGTTGAAGGATTGCAAGACACGTATACAATCCGTCGAGCTCGTAGATTTAGAAGGAACTTTATAAGCTTCAAGTGCATTCCTGGTCTATTCGGGTCTGACAACAAACAACCTGCACTTTAGTACTCGTAAGATCTGAGAAACACACAGGTACGATGAAATGGCGTACGGACAACTTGGAACTGGAACTTAAGTACAGAAGTTAGATTAGCAACAATACCAGTGATTACAATGTCTGGTTGGGGAAAGTCTTGATGGAAATCGTTGATGAGTTTGTTCAGATCACTTTGTATGAAGGTAGCATTTCTAATTCCGTTTCTCTCCGCATTTCTACGAGCATCTACAACAGCTTCCGGAACAATCTCGTATCCATACACATGCTTTGCCCTGTCAACACAGACGATTCTTCACTTGTGAGACACAGGACAAACCTTGGCAAAACCTCCACTCTCTGCAGAACCCCGAACGTGCTGCCTTATTTTGAGTGCGGGAAGCCGAACGTAAAGTCAACGAAAAAGAAAGGACTCGGCAGTTACTTCTTTGCCATGCTGAGGCCGATGGTGCCAGTACCACAAAATAAGTCCAGAATGATTTCGCTAGCATCTCCCTTCAGACTAGACTGCTCTTCAACCATCCTGTAGAGAACTTCTGCCTGTAAAAGAAGGATAAAATAAGAAGAAGATGAGGACTGGACTTCAGGAAAGTAACCTTTCATTAGCAGTAAAAGTTTCCATTGTTTGGGCACTGCGAGTAGGTAGAAGTATGTAGAAACTAGTTATCTTCCCTTCAAGTTACAGAAAGACTGCCACATGGCCAATAGCTCTCTCTCTGATCCACACCTGTGAGGTATTTGTCTGGAAGAAAGAGTTGGCTGAGATCTCAAACTGAAGTCCTCTCAGAGTCTCTGTGATAACACGTCCACCAAATAGAACATGCTCTTCATCACTTTGCGAAGTATTCCCGACGGAAGTGGCCACATTGTTGACAAAACTGACCTGCAAAGATGATGAACTGGAAGATGAGGAGCAGGACGGACTAGAGAAATAGATACGGTCCAATGTACACCCATGAAGTGCAGAATTGCAGGGCTAATGGATTCTTTTGGCGTCTGGATGTCAAAAACGAGCACAAACCTACCATCTGGGGAAACTCGTCCACGAGACTTGTGACAAGTGGTTGTATCAAGTCCGGTTGGAAGGTTGAGGTTACCAGGTTCACCATAATCTGTGGACCACCCGTCTTCAAGTCGCTGCATGCATCAACATCATGTCAATGCCAGGATGACAAAACAACTTCGATCCTGTAAGGCTTCATCCTCAAATTTAACAGGGTGTTCAACCCTAGGGACAACAAAGGAAGATCGTTCGTCGCACAGAATATCCTGGGTCTATCACACATGACACGGTTGTTTGGTTTATACCTACGTCTATATACTTCCACAGGATCCCTACCACCACACACCTGCCTGTTCGGATCATGAGATGTCTCAGAAACCCTTTATGCGTGTGTACATCATACGCTGGCAGCTTTTTAGAGTTGGCGTAACAATATGCCTTCACCTGCTTGAAAATCTGCAGAACGAAATCGCACGTTTCGGTGAATCTTGATCATTTTGGATTCATCTTCAGAGATGCAGAGTAGAGACATCTCCAGCACAAGGAAGGCACAAAAGCTCAAGCAACTGCCGCACGGAAACACGAACAACGTGATAAGTGCGCTTTCGAAGCCTAGACCAGATGAACCTCGACAAGTAGCTCAACCGTTCAGTGCAAAAAAAGAACCCCGACAACGAACATATTCATACCTGATTCGCAACATCATGCTGCAGTAAACATTCATTAATAGGCAGTATTCTATCGAATCGCTTGGGTGCATGTAGTCCCAAAGCAAAATCTTCAGAGTATGATTCCGACTTGGTTACTTCGGGGTACTCTTCGTCGTTGGCTTGGCCCACCGAACTGTAGGATTCAGCTGGTACCCATTGTTGTGTTCCAAATGAAAACTCCATCTATATGGCAGATAAACATTGTATCTGTTACAATAATGAAGGACTCTAGTAGATTACCATCTCCATGATATTCAAAACCCAAGGAGCTTCCAGACTGGAGCATTCTACCCTACGACGGGCAGGCGCATTTACAAGTGTTTCCGAAAATAAAGTGAGAAAGGAGCAATGACTCACCTTGTTCCTATAATGAAACTCCATGGGGCAGGGCACTATTGGTTTTAAATAACTTCCAGTCGGACCATCAGGTTGGCTGATGCCAAATCTCCCAGTTCGAGCGATTAGATCGTGTACTTGCTGCTCTTTTTCATGAAGCTGAGCGTGATAGGCTAGATTTTGTGTCTTGCACCCTCCACAGTCACCAAAATGTTGGCAGGGGGCAGCCACTGCATTATGATGAACAGAAAGTGTCTTCAGCTTGTATGCCTGCCAGAAATCAGCACAATTTTGATACAAAGCTCAAGCCAGGCTCTACTGCATAAAGCTAATACGAAATTACAGCCTTCTTGTGTCTAACTAAAAATGCCTGTAGAATGTATGCAGATGAATGCTATCTACCCTTCCACTGAATATTATTGGGATATAGAATCGAAAATAGAAACGGCCCTACTCATACCATGCTTTCAATTTTGTCAATTTGCTCCTAAAACTGGTCCCTGCTCTTTTTGCTCCTATAGAAAATGCCTGGCTAATCTGATCAGATGCAATTCGGTGGATCTTTTAGCAAAACAAACATTTCTTCTATCACTCTGCATTTGTTGTTGAAGGCTCAAAGAGTCCCGGATACGAAGAGAAACAAAAGTGGAAGACAAGCGTACAGAGACAAAAAGTATTACCTCCGCAAAACCACGTTTCTTCTTTACAATCCGAGCAAGAAGCCGCTCTCCTGGCAAGGCCCTTTCGCAAAGCACTACAAATCCTGTCTCAACAACCTTGCACACCCCATTGCCTTTGTACGCTAGGCTCTCGCATACGAGCTCTATGTCTTGGCCCTTCTTCGGAAAATAACTAGAAGGTCCTTTCTCCTTCGGACTCGATTGCGATCTTCTGGTAGGCTCCTGCAAATTCTCCTTCACATCCTCGAACACGGGCAGCAACTGATCGACATCGGAGCTGGCAGAGGCTGTGGCATTACGTACAGAGAATGCGCGAGAGCGAGTGTGCAAAGGTACAACGCAAGGCCGAGAACCAAACGATGTACAGCAAACTGACGAGAACGAGCGCCACAACGCCATAATAGCAAATTTTGAACACACAACCTGAAATTTTGGTAAAACGTTCGAACCATAGAATTAGGAAGAATCCGGCACCTCAATTACAGCAAAGGAGCTACATCCAATCTGAAGCCTACTACATAATCTCTTCATCCACAGTTCGAAATCTGGGTCGATGCAACTGTGTACCACAACTCAAATTAAACTCCTCCTCTCAAGAAACAGACTGTTCGAAATTGTGTCCACACGAAAACAAAGCATTGCAGAATTTTCTCCAGAAAATTTCCACATTCCGCTGCAAAGAGCATTCTGGCCGCTGCAGCTCATCACGTATCAGGTAAATTGTCCGAAAGGCTTGGAATCGCTCACCTTGCGGACCTCTCGCCTAAATGGAGTTTCCCGCAGCAAGGGTTCAGGGCTTTAGCTTCACAGAATCTCTTGTACCCATGCCTGCCTGCCTGCCAGAGTACCCTGTAAAATTCGGATAACAGAAACTGACAAAGAGACTTCAAATTGCAGCTGTCGGGAAATTCGGCCCAGTGTGTCTCGGGTGGCAAGAGCAGAATTTCGGTCGCCGCTGGAGGTCAACTGGGCGTGTGGATATGGTGTGCCGTGCACCAGCAGAAGAAGCCTCGCCATGATTCACACACTCGACTAGACAGGATCTCGCTTTCACTGCATTTACGGCATTCACGGAATTTCCGTCATTTCGCGCTCACGGATTTCTCATTTGCGGACATCCGGCATGCTCTGCTATCCGGCACGTTTTCCGGGTGCGATCCTCAATTTCTGAGTTATAGGTTTTCGACAAGGTTCTGTGTTCTCCTCTTGTCCACATGACTTTCGAGTGGAGAATGATCAAGCCCGTTTCGAATACCATGCCCTGACGAATGAGGTGAAATTGATTCTCTATTTTCCTCGTTAGTGAATGGAAAGTTCATATGCTCACGTGGTTTCAAACTTCTTCTAGTATTATTTTTTGATAAAATGTGATCTAACATGAGAGATAATTGTTCACATGACTCCAAGAAATTGAGTTGTATCAACACTGTACTCATTTACAATTGTTCGTTTTCATTTACTCACATCTTTATCTCGTGTTTGAAACATAAAAATTTAATTTAATTTAATAGACAACTTTTCTTTTGTTTGTTCCAGGTTGGCTAAACTTGATTCTTGTAAAGGTTGCTTTGGTAGTTTGGATATTGATAGTCTCTATAGCAGTAGTCACGAGGAAAGTCTTGGTATTGGTTTAATTCTCGGCTTGCGTGGTTGAAACTGTCTCATCCGCTTTTTCCTTGGTTGGTACTACATTCTTCTCCTTATCAAAAGTTTTCATTTTATTGAATCATGTCAAAAAACGAGCACAAGGCAATTGAATTTAGTTTTGAAATTATATTATTCTCTACCTTTTCCAGGAATGAAGACATCTATCGAATTATTCAAAGTTGTCAAAGTGCTAACCCAATCTTATAGTAAATTTTTGGTTGGACTTTTTTCGACCAAGTCGAGAATCTTATTTTCTTGCATTTTTATCTTCCAATCAGAGTATCAATATTGGAAGATTGTTAACACTGGAAGATGCATTTGAAAAACATTGAGGATTTGAATCTCCGTGGTCTCATTATGATAATATTCTTACCAATAGTCCTCATCCTTGTCCATAATCTTAAATTTCAGCTTTCTACACATAATATGTAGCAAAATTCATAGACTCTATTGTATAGTTTTTTCATATATGACAGAAAAATGAATGAAGTAGACCAGTGAGAATTAGGCAAGGAATGTGATAGCAAATTATAATCGTTAAATTCACACTCTCTCTGTAAATGATATCATCCGATGGCCCATCATTTCTAGTTACGGGTTATAGACATGTACCTTCGGTGAGGTTATTAGCATTTCCCAAACTCCAATATTTCACTTTCCAAATACTAGGATGCCATCCTCCATGAATGCAAGTGAAGACTAAGATTGTTCTATTAGAATTTAAAACACCTAAATATAGTATTTCTTGCAATATCAACCTCAAGTATACAACATTGAGCTAAACATGTTCTCCAAGGTGAAGTTAGACAATTTCAAAGGTTCACAAAGGTGAGCTAAATATGTTCTTTAAGGTGAAGATAACAGTTCCAAAGAAACACAAAGGAACGGAAGGAAGTCGAATTAGCCAACATGTCACACGTTTTCACATCCTTATGTTCTCGATTTTCTGGAATACATGGCTCTCATAGAAATTCCACCCTGCACTGATTAGATACAAACTGTTGTCACTAACACGACTCTCTGATTAGGAACTGCTCCCACAGAAGCCTAATCAAACATTTAAATAGAGTAACTGAACGTCATTTGTAATCTAGAGCATTTTGATTTCATGCCAACGATGAATAACATCTAAGACTGCAATTCAAAATTCTTACTAATCTAGTTGAGAGATTAACACTATTCTTTTGAAGAAAGGGCAAAAGAAATTTTTAATGTGCTAGAAATTTTCCAAGTTTTCGTAGCGAGAAATTCTTGATTCAACACCAGTTTGTCTTAATACCTTCACGTCTGGAGATATTGTAATTTTTCTCACCTGTGATAGCATTTCAAAGAGGATTAAATTATATTCACATGCGATACGTATCGGTAAAACGTTTTGTCCACTAGCAAATACTTATGAAATTGAGCTTGCAACTAGAAGTAAGTCCCTTCCTAGACAGACCTCTTCCAGATTCCTTGTAATCGTTACTACAACTTTAAAATAAACCATGTGTCTCGATGAGGCACTTGTGGCCTTGACGTTGGCCACGAAGCAGACTACGTGTGAACGGACGTTATTTTCCGTTTATGTTCCGTATTGTGATTTGTATTCCAAGTCTACAACCTTCAGCTAATATCTACCTGTCACCTAGAAACTCTCTAAGTCCCTCGACCGCAACCCCGATCAAATCTTGAAGTCGTTCTCTTCTCATCTACTCTCTGAATTTTAAATTTCCGACCTATATTATACGCACTCAATTTACAAAACACTCGCACTATCAGAAAAATAAAAAGAAAAGCTGACACCACATAAATACGACTGGGTTGGCGAGCAAAAACAACTACAACAGCATGATCGACTCTCCGCTATACGATGCAACTCCCTCACCGAATCTTGTCTCGACTTGCGAGTATGGATCTCTGTAATTAGATTCTTCGCAGACTGCGCTGTATAACACCGTATAATATCAAATATATTATACAACACTCATAGGTCCACCGTCTAATATGTTAACACTATCAAATTCATTATGTTATGTTAACGATTCTCAGATTCCGTGGCGAACTTTTTATTATACAATGTTCTATAGTTTGAGAGTGATGTATAATACATAGGTATTATACCGCAATTATATACACACCCATACGTGCGAGCACTTGTACTCCACTTTCATACTCTTCCTTCTGCCATCTCCATTTTTTCCTCCCGTTTCCCCTTCTGTAGCTCTTCGTCACCTCTTTCATCCGATTATGCTTCCCGATGCATCCCGCGTTCTCCCTCTAGCCCCGCTCCTTCCTTCCTCGGCAAACGTCTCGAGATTGACTCGCGCTCTATGTTAGACATCATATGTGGACAAGGATATCATGGGTGACGGTTTGTCCTCAATGGGGACACTATCAAGTAAAGTGATACGTGCTGGATCCTAAGAATTGTTTTGTATTAGGGCGTTGATATTTGATTCGGTCCATAAATGTTGAAGCCAATCCAGTCCCAGGAACACTCTTCTTCACGTAGCCCATACGGACGGGTTTAGCTGCACAAACTTATACATAGCCCCTATATAGGGCCTTCATAGACCCAGCAGGTGTCATCCTGCAGTGACCCGTGACGGAAGTTCTTCTTTTCGCTGCGACTCTCCTCTTTTGGACCAAAGATGGAAGATTGTGCGGGCAGGCTAACCGGGCAGGTTTTTCATTGGCACTCAATTTTCCGGTGGAGCATCAAAGTGATTGAATTAGATCGCTCCGCTTTCCGGCAGACGGATCTAACGATGGACTATAAGAACACTTTGCGGGGAGGGTCGGCGGATCCGGCAACCATGTAGATGGGATGCCCTCAACCGGAATGAATGACTCATCTGAAAATGGCAGGAATGGGCAAACTATCTTCCTCGGTATACTGATATAGAACAAATTTATGCACTGAAGAGGACGATATTTGATTCGACTCCAGCAACATCAAGACCGGCTGATGGTCAAACCAAAGCAACTCGCATATACAAGAGACGATTCTTGAAGTGCTGTACTTAAAGCTACAAAAGAAAAAACGCACTTGAGATTCTTGGTTAAGTCCGTAACACTCATGATCAGTAAGTCATGAATTGAGGGTATCTTCTGTAAGAAGATTTTCATTGCCAAGAAGAACTTGCAAAGCCCATAATTTATGAGCATACGAGGAGTTTGTAGAACTGGTTATTTGAGAGGTCAAAAGTTTGGACCTCAGATGGATCAGATCATTCCGAGTGAAATTTACAGGAGAAAAAATATGAGATTCACGCCCTACACGTATTACTGGGCTAGTCACACTCTGTCTAGAAAACTGGTAATAAGGAGGCGTGCAGAATTTAATATCTTGACGGGTCCTGTCTATCTGGTTACATTCATTTCAGTTTCAGTATGATCTACAGCAGAGTATTAATTATGTCACAGGTAAAGTCCAACATTACGGTACATGGAGACCTGACAACAACGTTCCAAATCTGATTAAAATTCTTCTTCTTTGATAATCTTTGAGGGCTCTTGCTCAATTTCTGAACGGAAGGGAGATATGTCGGTGAACCAGACTCTTACTAAAAGGATGCCTGAGACGTGTTTGAGCTTAGTCTATTCTTATGTATGGATATAAGAGAGAGTGACAATCTTTTAAATTCTTGACACTTTTTCTGATCTATGGTAACATTTATACAAACTGTACCCGTTGATATGAACCTGCTATGACCTGAAGACCATAGACTCCTCGCCCTAGCTGAGCAAGTGCTACTTCACGTCTCTCAAGAGTATAGATCATCTATTAAATTCCACAGTACCGAGTGTTGAATCTAAACTATTGATTCCAATTTCGGGTATATGAGCGTTTCAAGCGTACACGGAATCGGATGTAACAAGTTCAGATATTTACCTCGACCTCATATGGGCAACAGATCTTGCTCCTTTAAATGAATGGAGGGTAAATACATTTCCTTCACACGACGACGGAGAGAAGAGCACCTACAAGTGATATGAAAATGTGACATATTAAGGAGTTTTACCAAGCTATGCATGTTTCCTTTGTCAGTTGTCAGGTTCAGTGATCAAGTTACATTGCGATACAAAGCAGAATCGCAATCGAAGTTTGATCCAAATCTATGAAAAAATTCAAACATCAATTAAAATTGGTCGGAACATACATTTAGTTTCTTCATCCGACAGCAATTAATACAAAATGAGCTATATGTTTCACAATTACATCTCACATCTCTGCGTTTATAAACACACAGAAATAGGCGGGGGATATTGTTTGAACAAGAAATGACTTTTTATGGAGAAGGTAGTCCCGATTCCTTTTCTTTGTATCTCTTATCATTGAGCTAGATTTGTAGAGTATGTTTCTCTCCCTTTC